TGCCACGCGTCAGGGGCCTCTGGAGTCCACCCCACACGGAGGAGGTGGGCAATCAGAGCCGACATGGGACCCCTCACGTGCCTCGCATACTGAGATGGGTCCAGTGCCTGGAAATGCTCAACGACTCTGGGCCACGCCCGACGAATGCCAGGCCTCAAGTGAGGCTTGTGAGTCCAAGCGCGCAGCCGCTCCTTGAGGCAGGCAACAGGGATGCTGATACCAGGGTCGTGCCCAGGGGTGCGAATGTCGAGAAGCGAAGACAGGCGCCTTCCCTTCTTGGCAGCCCCTGAAACAGCCCCCGACCTCCTCCTGAGGGTATAAGCAACTGATGCCCCAACGCACCCGTGCACGGCCATGCCATGAGTAGAAGCCGCCCGGGGCCCCGCCAGCTCGACGACCTTTTTCGTGACCGTGTGCCGTTCAGGCGCCCGAGCAGAACTGCGCAACTTGTCATGCTGCGACTTGCTTTTGATGACCCTCTGCCTGATACTTATACTATATGTGCGTCGCCCTCCCAGGGGCGACGCGCGCACCGAGGAATCTTATAGTATATGCGTTGTGGCGGGCGCATTCTGGCCACACCGCTCGGGAAACGATATACTACAAGATGGGTATACTATATGTTCGGGTCGGACGCGCGCGTCCAAGGATGACATATGGTACTAGTACGTCTTTGTGCATCCCATGCGCGTGGCTCTTGCGAGCCTCTTGCCAAGCCCAAGGCCCACCCCGAGGTAGGAGGTCTGGAGGACAGGCTGCACGATCATACCAGCTTGCTTGGGGGCCTGAGCGGACTGCCTGGCGACACGGTGGGACGAGCAAAGGATGACCCTCTTGGGCGCCAGCGCGAGCTCCTGCTCCTGAAAAAGACTGCCGGTGGCCGCAATGCTGGTGTACATCTCTACCTGCACCTGCCGTTCCGAGCCAATGGACGTCATCTTAATATCATGTATCCAGATACGTTCACCATGAGCTTGTGCATAATAAAAAAGTCACACACCTCGCAAACCTGGTTCCACTCCTCAATCCCTGAACCACGCTCCTGGTAGGCTGAAAACATTCGGAATATGCTCTCAGCTGGGAGAGGACTCGGGGCCAGACAAACCTGGAGCTCCAAAAACAGCATGGTGGGAGGGAACCCGAGACGCATAGCAGCGGTAACCAACTTCGGCCATTGGATATGATCGTAAAAGCTTTGAATATCCAGAACAGGTGACCCCACAGTGGCCCCCAGTTTGACTGCTACCTCACTCTCAAGCACACGTACGAACGCTTCATGCAAGGCGCTGTTGCCAGCAACTGCAGCGTCCCATGCCGGGCACGAAGCTGATGTCCAGGCCTTCGACACTGGCTCTCTAGCAAGACTCCAGACACGGCATATCATAGATATCAACCCGATAGCCCTATCTCCTCCTGATCTCTTATCTAATAACCTCCCAATAACAAGAAGAGTCTGCCACGGCCAGGTGAGGCAGTCCTCGATGGCCGAAAAAAGATCGATAAGCTCGCTGATGGCCCGATCTGGCAACCCTTCGAAATCGAGCGGGGTGAGCCTGTCGATGCCCATTCCTGCATTCGCGCGCATTCTCCTCAAAGCGGTTCGAACGTCCGAGATTTCCAACCTGGGAAGGGCCTCGGACTGGGCCTCGGACCGAATGTTGGAAAACATGTCGAACAGCAGGTCCAGGTCCAGGGAGTCCGAGGTCCAGAGTTTATGTCATTCACGAACCTTGGTGTCGATCAAATCTTTGGGGTTGAAAATCCTGCCCCCCTCTTCATTCACGAACTCGGTGGCTGGCTGTGGCACCTGCCGCAATGACCTGTGAATAGGACCGAGGGAAGCTTCGTCCACGATCCATTCCTTACAACGTTGAAGTGAAGCATGCACCGCGCGCCCTCGAGCGCGACTGGCAGCACGCTCAGCTTGGCTCCTAAGACTCTCCAGGAGGGTCTCGTCTAAAACCTCCAACTGCCCAAGGTACCCAATCCACTGGTCCCAAGAAACAGCCCCACTAGTGGTAGAGACGACCGCATGCGAGTCCACGGGAACGTCGCTGATCAAAACCCTGCCAACATGTGCAATGTGACGTACTTGCTCCTCCCCATGCTGCCTCGCCCTATGCCGATGCAACCTGCGCACGATGACATGGGCGCGTGCCCACCAGCTTGCAACCACATCCGATAGAGGTTGTGACCTAAGATGTTCGGCTTTTTGAACCACTTCGATAGACATATCAGGACCTGACGCCCGACTACGACCAGCAATAGGAACCCCATGGTGACTAGAGATAGTGGCCTCAGCAGTGCGAACCCACGACGAAAACATCCCACTGATAGCCTGGATGTGCTCTCCCCCCATGCGGTACGCCAAGGAGTCCGTGATGACGGGCCGAACCTCCTCCGACAGACTGGTGCAGAACCCGATGTCGCCCCGTTGCTCGCTCCACGTGTGTTCTGGGATCCAGTAGTCAGGGAGGGGGGACAGGGAGGGGGAGCTGCC